GAACTCCGACGTGGCGCGTCCCCGGGTGGTGGATAGGGGAACGCCCCGGCATTCGTGTCGGGGTAGGGCGCAAGCCCCGCGAACCAAACACCAGGGTCTGGCGGTGCGCGCAGGACTAGTCGATGAGGCGTCGACAGGTCTAGCGCGCTAGCCGGGCCCCCAACCGGTGGAAGCGCCGGAGGTGGACGATTGTCTGCCTCCGTGCTGGCTATGGTGGTGGGGCCGTGGGGGATGCGGGAAGGGTACTGGTTTATCCTGCCCTACTTGCATCCCTCGTGGTCGGAGTTGAGGTGTGGGGCCGCGAGGGATGTGGGAAGGGTACTGGTTTATCCTGCCCCCCTGCATCCCTCGTGGCCGTGGACGTGTGGATGCCGCGAGGGCTGTGGGAGGGTACTGGTTCATCCTGCCCACCCGCAGCTCTCGTGGTCGGACGTGTGGGTCCGATGTAGCGGACGGTCGCCGGCTGGGTCGCGGAGGAGTGCTCACGCGTACCCGTAACCCGGCCATATGGCGATGAGGAGGGCTAGAGGGGTTTTAGTGGGTATGGCCGAACGACTGTAGGCGAGTCCCACACTCCCTGCGCCATTGCACACTGGCCCGGCGCAGGGGTGCGGAAGTGCATTTCCCCTCGTTAAAAAAAAAAAAAAAACTTTCTTTTCCGAAAGCCATTTATAATATAGCTCGCAAGGGACGTCCTAGAACAACGTACTCTAGCGACAAAATTCCAAACACCTAGGCGCCAAACTGTCACCGCTAACGCCACTCTCCGACAGATGGCTCTACAACAAATACGCCTAGCAATATCGAATATCGTTTCATCTCAGTTGATAAAGTTAAGAAATCTCGCGAATGCTTTGCAACCCAAAAGTCAGATGGCGAAAGGCCGATGGCGATGATGGATTTTTGCTTTAGATCTGTGTTACTTATAACTTTATTTCGCTTTTAGTTTTATTCCTTGTTCTTGTAATTCAATTTAACACTATGTCACTCTGTTTTGTCTTTTTACTGTCTACTCTTCATTATTTCGTTTAGAAAATAGTTAAATTCTAAATTATATTAATTATGTTATATAGAATAAGTAGAATATATGTATGCATAGAATTAGGTATAGTATTAAGTTAGATATTAGGAGCACTGTGCCCAGGCAGCAGTCGGACAATAGTATCAAATCGCTTAGGAAGACTGCTGCCTGGACCTTGCGAACAAATTGTAATTAACTTAGCGAGTAAGGACATGTAAAAAAAAATAAATAAATTGTGGAACATGACAATATACTCCTACCTGGGAGGGTACTTTCGGGTGGAAAATAATAAAAGAAAAAAAAAAAAAAAAAAC